TTACGAGGAAAATATCAGGACCCAGCGAGAGAGGAACGATCGAAGGGTATTATGTCCCCTTCTGAAAGTTTCGGTCGGCGAAAATTCTCCTACTTGGAAATCGTTTCTCCCGTATTGTCCTCGACGACGTAACGGTGCGGGTTAAATGTACCGAACTTCAGATAATAAACAACGATAATACGTTCCAGAAATAAATAATGGTCGACGGATACCGCGGGAATACGGAACTTTTGTCCTGGAGCGGCACGCGCGGTCGTTCGTCATTCCAAGAGTCGGCTCGCGCTGAAATCGATAGTCCGCGAAAGAATACGAGCGTCTCCGCTTTTCTATCTTTGGTCTCTCTACTTTTTCCGAGTAATATTCCGGTTGCCTCGTAAAAAACGTTACGTTACGAGTCCGTTTGCGAACCTACTCACGGCAAAAAAGCGGAAAGAGAAGAAGCGGGAAGGTGAAGTTTCGGTGAGTCCTGGATAGAAGGGTTCGACTCGGAATCGTGTAGGTAATTTCGCGCGATACGACTCGGGTGAAAGGTGTATTTAGAAGGAGAACGGTGGAAGGAAGAGCAGCGGGTGGAACGGGCTGGAAGATGTTTCGCGACATAGACAGAGATCGAGCAAGGAAACGAGGTAAACCGGGAAAGAGAAACAGCGAGGTACGGTTTGACGAGCCGTAGGCAAACAAGGGAGATCCGCGAAGTTTGTTTGGATAGAAGCAACGACGCGACGTGCTTTAATTTACGGTTTGTCGTCGTTCTCGTCATCGTTCTCGTCGTCGACGTCTTCGTGTTCGTCGTCTATATCGATGTTCGTCGCGTAACGTCGCGTAACGTCGCGAACCTTTGCGAACACGGTCGCGCTTTTTACTCGCGGCAAAACGGTATCGCCTTCGATCGCCTCTCCCTGTCCCCCTCGAAAATTCGCGCAAACAGAAGGGGTGACCATCTGCAAATACTTATCGTTTGACGAACCGTTTCGTTTCACGCTTCGCTCGTCCGTGGACAAGCCCTCGTTAACGACAACTTTTTTCCACCGCCTTCGTTCGATGACTCGTACAAGAATCGCAAACATAGACCTATTTATCAAATTTTTCGGAGGGTCACGTCGCGAGCGAGCTTCGAGGCTCGATCAGGTGAGGGAATCTGACTTTACCGTCGTCGCGATAAAATCCTCTCTATAATCGAAAAAGCTCAGCGTCGCTATTCTTCGAAAGGCCAAAAGATTTCGTCTCGGACGGAACGACGAAGAAGCGAAAATAGAGAAAAGAAACGACTCGAAACGGAAAACTTGCGAGAGCCAGATACACGGAGAGATAAAAACGCGGCGAGACGCGAAGGAGCGAAGAAAGGAGGGAAGAAAGGACGGAAGGAAGAAAAAGAGCAGCGCGAGCGAGCGCGCGTACGCGCGCGTATCTTACATTCAAAATAGCAGGGATAAGACTAAGCTCGGGGTTGCGAGGAAGGCGGGCAAACGCGAGAGTCCAAGTCGAAAGTCTACCGTGGGGGAAAATCCGGAAGGTGGGGTAGGTGGGTTGTAACATGCAAATTTGAACCTTAAGGGTTTTATGTCGAGCGATATCTTTGAATCATCTCCCCTTCTCGTTGGACGCGTCGATGGTGGCCCTTGGAGGATTTCAACCGATTTTATCCGAAGTAGAATTGTCTGTCGCTTTCGAAGAAGGAAGGGGATCGTTTTCGTCGGTCTCTTCCTCTTTCGGGGATCCGCTCGATCGGTCGTCCGCGTGCGACGCGTCGTTAGCGCGACGCTATCCGAACCATCTTTAGTCGTCGCTTTAACGATTCACGGTTAGGTTCGTGCTCCTCTTTCCACTCGTTTCGAAGATCGTTCGTCGCCGCCGACAGATCGAAACGTCATTCGGGGAAGATTTACCGTAGGCCGTAAGAAATCGGGCCGATCAGAGCTTTCCTAGCTTCGTTCGGTTTTCGAGTCTCTTCTCTCTCCGAGTTTCGCGACTCGTCGGAAACGCGTCGCATTGTCGGTTGATTTCCAGGGCCGAAAACGACCGCGGCGTAAAAACGTTGTTGTCCGATCGGTCTGGGTGTGCGCCGTGTTTATGAAAACGCGGCACGCCGCGCGGTATTCTCGTATCCGATTCAATTTAGATTACGATCTCGATCAGCGCGTGCCAATAAAAATACGCGCGGTTCGAGCGTCGCATGAATTACGAGGCGTCGCGCCGCACCGCACCTAGCCGTATTAAAATCGTTCGCGATTCCGTATCTGATCCGATGTCCGGTGGACCGTATAAGCGGCTCGTTCTTTTCGATGGAATGATTTTTTCGTCGAATCGTTTTCTCGATTTTCTCGAAAACGGGTCGNNCGACAGATCGCGCGACGATAATCCGAATTGGGTCGATTTTAAGGAATCGTCGCGCACGATCGTGTCGACGATACGAGTTTATTCCTGCCCTCGTGAAACCGTGCGACGTAGATCGATCACGCGGATTTTAATATCTTGGAGCGCATTGGTCGAGCATTCGGTAGTCACGAGGCACTTTGGCCATTCATCATGGTAACGTAGTAGGTTACCGCACGAAGGGCGCGCGATTAGAATCAGTTACCCTTTACTTGCGCGCGTTTGCCGTCCCCGCGATGATGGGTAACCCTTGATATCCTGGACAAGGATATCCCCGAGGGTGCCATCTGCCAAGGCCCGCTCCTTCTATCTCCCACCGTTGTTTCGACCTTCTATTCCGCCATCGTCGTCGTCGTCGTCGTCGTCGTCGTCGTCGTCGTCGTCGTCGTCGTCGTCGTCGTCGTCGTCGTCGTCGTCGTCGTCGTCGTCGTCGTCGTCGTCGTCGTCGTCGTCGTCGTCGTCGTCGTCGTCGTCGTCGTCGTCGTCGTCGTCGTCGTCGTCGTCGTCGTCGTCGTCGTCGTCGTCGTCGTCGTCGTCGTCGTCGTCGTCGTCGTCGTCGTCGTCGTCGTCGTCGTCGTCGTCGTCGTCGTCGTCGTCGTCGTCGTCGTCGTCGTCGTCGTCGTCGTCGTCGTCGTCGTCGTCGTCGTCGTCGTCGTCGTCGTCGTCGTCGTCGTCGTCGTCGTCGTCGTCGTCGTCGTCGTCGTCGTCGTTACGCTTCGAAGGGTCGCGCTTTCGAAAAATTAATAAGTCACCGTTCTGCGAGGTCGTACCGCGTCTTTTGTCACGGCAAGACCATTCGACGACGATCGTTTTACGGTAACCTGAAAAGTTTCTCCGTCGACTCTCGCAGCCAATTCTTTCGTGCGACGAATCGAAGTCGACTCGCGAGATGGATCTGAAAAGTAGAGAAACGTTTCGATAGAAACCGGTAGCGCGCAGTCGCGTTCTTGTTTCTCGCAAACTGCTCTTTTGTTCCTTATTTATTGCGACATGAATAAAACACGGAGGAGCCGGCAGGCGAAAGGGAGGCAGAGGAGGAGGGTAACGTATTAAATGCGGTATAATTTTCAAATTTTGGGAAATAAATAACGGGTAAACGATAGGCTGGCTCGCGAGCGGCCCCCTGCTCTTTGGCGTTTCCGTTCCCCTCGAAAACGCGCATAAATCCTCGAGGACCGCTCGGGACTCGGATTCGTCGAGAAAATTCTCTCAGGGAGCAAGGGGATCGCTTCGGAAAGCATCCCATTATGTTCGCGTTGTTGCAACGAATCGACCAACAAGTGTTTTCTTTCCCTTCGACCGCGAACACCGTCTATCTATCCTGTCGCGAGACTACGTCATTCTTGAACATTCGAGGAACGCACGGCGCGGCTCCGCGC